AGCGGCTCGCCGGGCCACACGCAGTAGCTGCCCCCGGTCTCATTCGTTCAGGCTGGGGAGGGCATGTCACTCGCCCCGGGGCGACCCCCAGGGCCACGCAGCACCAGGCAGCCGGCCACGGTCCTCTGCGGGCGGCGGCTCACGGGGGCAGCGTTTATAGCACAAACTCTGAGCAATAAGCCCCTGCGCTGCGGCCGGGGCTAAGCTGCACGTCCCAAGGGGCGTCCCCCACCCGCAGGGCCCGCGGCCAGGGCAGCCCCCGCGGCCAACCCTCGCCAGCACAGGCTCGCCAGCACGGTTCTGCTCCTCAGAGCTGCGCCAGGGGCAGGTGAGGGCTGTCCGCGCGCAGCCCCCGGCAGCTTTGCAGTGGCAGCCGTGGAAAATGCAGACTTCCAGCATCAAGACACCGTAAGATTTCCCTAAAAAGTATCAATTTCAAAGAGACAAACTTGGTCTTAAAAAAGCCAGGCTTCTCGAGCCCAACAGCTGCCTACTTGTGGAAAATGGATGATGATCTACAACAAGAGTACATCAAAACGCATCTTTGATGTTTTTCAGCTGCCGGACAGCCAGGTCAACCGGGAGGTTGAATTTCAAGTTGCTCAGGCGGCTGAGCAGGTTGAGCGCGCTCTCAAAGCCCGTGTTGGCCATGTAGCTCCACGGCTGGTAGTGGGACTGCACCAGGGCGCCAGACTTGCAGATCAGGTTGAGCCAGGAGACCAGGCGCTGCTCGTTCAGAGCCAGACACACCAGGGCCTTCAGCTCAGAGTCTGCGCTGCGCTTGAAGGGGTCGTGCTCCGTCAGGACCGTGTGGATGGCGCTCAGCAGGCTCTGCTTGGGGGTCACGGCCCCTCCTCCCGTCACAGGCAAGGCGAAGGACTGCGAGAGCTTGCGGGCCGGGGATTCCACGAAGGCTTGTCCGTTCTTAGCGTTGTAATACTTGACAAAGAGCTCCCAGGGGTGCATGGTCTGCGGCGAGGAGGTGAAGGCAGGAATCAAGCACGCGATGGGGGCCAGCACCAGGCTCATGCCTTGAGAGGAGGCGAAGAGCCCGTGAGCCATCAGGTCTCGCAAAGCAACGGTCAGCTCCTTCCGCACAGCGAGCGTCAGCTCGTCCCTGCCCCCTAAGGGGATGTCCTGCAGATCGGAGGAACTGATAACGTGGTCTTCCTGCTGGTGCTTCACGGCCAACTGCCTCACCCGCTCCACGGACAGCTCCAGCTTCTTAATTAAGGGGGAATAGTCCTGGTTGGCCTGGTCCTTCTGCCAGAGGGTGCGAGGAATCTGGCCAGTAGCACAACCAAACTGACTGACAGCAAATATCTGCAGCACGGCAAGCATGCGACGCATGAGCTGCAGACCTGTTTCTCGCATCTTTCTGGCATCTTCTGGGTTCACTGATCAGGTTAGGAAAGAGAAAAAAAAAATATTCTCATTAAGGAATCAACAGCTCTGCACTTTAACAGACACAAAGGGAGTGCAAATGTCTGCTCCTCCTCTGCCATGGATTCTCCAGGAGCTTTCATTGCTAAGACTGATGATACTTTTTCCAGTTTCAAAGCATTGAAGCCAACCAGAAAAACAAACATTTGGATGGCCTTTTGCCAACAACCGTGTCATCTTACAGAGAAGAAACCCTACCACAGCTTTCCCAGTGGGCACACGCACAGTGAGGAAAGATCATTCTTTAGACAGGACACTATCACACAGATGAGAAGACACCAAAACCTTTCCTGAAGGACATCTCTCAGCAGGCTAACATCCACCACTTACTCCTGATGCCATTATTAAACTCAGTTTGCAAGAGCAGCCACACTGGGCGAGACCCGAATTCCACCTGGGCCAGTATTCTTATCTCTGACTAGTGGCAGATGCCTCAGGTTACAAGGGTAAAGGTATCGTAGTATTTCCTCCAATATCCTACTCTAGCTCCAATAAATTCATGTGGTAAGTAGACAAGTCTCAAATTACCAGGAACGCTGGACCGTCGCTCGCTGTACCTGCCCACAGCGCTGAGAACTCAAAGAGCATTAATTACATGCAGCCCAGCGTACAAGACCAGGCTGTCCGCCTTTTGCACGAAGCAGAAGAGTCCCTTCTATTCCCGACCTCCACCGAGGACCAACCCCACCCTCTGTGCCACACGCTCAGGTGCTGTGACCGCGCCAACAATCCCCTGGAGGAAGGGAAGAGGGACTGGACTCCAGCCCGCTGTCAGCGGGAGCAGCACAGCACAGAAACCAACTGCCAGGAAGGAAGCAAAAGAGCAGCTGGCGTGCCTGGATGCTGGTTCACGCTCGCTGAGCCTCGAGGGAGCGACAGCAGGAGCAGGGCTGGGAGCTCCGAGCCAAGCAGTGCCCACCTCTGTTTCCTGAGGGCCGTGTACTGGGTTTGTAGCAGCCGCTGCCATCTTTCCTGCCCGTGCATTCGCAGTGCCCATCTTCTGCCTTACCGGAGCTTCCGACTTCATCTAGGACAAGAATTTCACATTGTCGTTTCACACTTGTGAACTTCAGCTGTGTATCCCAGGTACGAAGGTCAATATTCCCTAGACCTCTCTGCCTTTTCTGTCAGTCTCTCTTTCTCCCCACCATCAGTTCAGAGCCCTGCCCTTCCCTGTGACCCAGAAACCCTCCCTGCACCCTCTGACCCCTGCGACCTCCCTCCTCATGACTCTGTCAGGGTTTGCAAAGCAATTCAACCTGCTCATCTGAAAACCCAGCACTGACCCTGAATGAAGTTGATGAACATTTCGAGGTCCCTTATCTGGGTCTTCAGTTGTTCCACCAGCTGCTCCTTTACCCTGGCTGGGTTAACAATCTGTGCTATGGCAGCATCCACACGCTGCCGCAATTCCTCTGGAGAGAGCGTCGCAATATCTTCACTCAAGTCCATGTCCAGCTTCTTTATCAGCTCATTTATAATCATCTGCAAAACACAAGTTAGTAGTGTGATCTCAACTGTGTGGTGCTGCTGCCCACGAGCTTCAAAATCTTCCTTTACCCACCCATCACCTTGGAAACGGGCACCTTTGCTGCAGAAAAATTACAGGAGAAGACACAGGAAGGTTGACACGTGCAGACAAACTACTGACACCCTACTGCAGCTGCTGGTGAGAAATCAGGACTGGCCAACGCCTGCAGCCTGTGAGAGGCTGACAGCTGCTACGAGAAGCAGAAGGGCTTCGTGGGCCTTACCCGTTGTCTTTCCATAACCACCGACTGCGGCAGAGAATCATAGCTGCCCTCCTGGTAAGCAAAAGTCTCCAGGTCATCCAGCTGCGTCTTGAGCTGCAGGATCAGCTCCCTCTGCTTCTCCTTCTGGACCTCAATCTGCTCCTGCTTCTCTCGCTCACTCTGAGGAAAAGTTACGAGTAAAGAGAGCTGAAGACGTGCGGATGTGGCCAGCCCCAGAGAACAGGGCCACGGTACGTGGTTTCCCCCAACCCACGGCGAACCCCGCGTCAGCCCGAGCAAGAGACGCGCCCGCGCATCGCGGTACCGGCCCCGTCTCCTCCTCCGGCGCACGAAGAGCCCCGCAC